CAAAATCAAATGTGACTGTCCATGGCTTATTTTTGTAGAATTTATCTTACATTTATTAAATCATAATATTATTTAAAGGTTGTTTGTGGGAAATACAGGCCAGCCCATTGCATGACATCGATGACTAATTTTGGGATCAAGACGCCTTTTTAATGTTATTCTTGAATACATTTACTCATTAATGTTAATTCTTTAAACTTTAAACAAACTTATCTCTTGAAATTAAAAACAATGGACCTAAAGAGGCCCTAACGATTTTGTATTTATGATTATGAGCTCATGTACTTAAATGCGCACTGGAAACAAATCCTGAGTTTATTGTGAAACTGTTGGCCATAAAATGACGTCGCTGGTATTGTTTCTAAGTGAATCACATTCAGTCGTCAAGCTGAGTGACATGAACCTTCAGGTGTAACAAACTGGAACTTACATAAATCAGGTAACCCTTCCTTCGCCCATGGAGACACAGAACGGTGGCAATAATAAGTCAATAACGACGCCACCTAAACCTTGCGTTAACCTAATGTAATACAGTTTGAAATACTTGGTTCTCGGGCAACCACAAAGCCGGCTATTATCCGGACCCAGCAGAGCTCACACAAGCCCACTCGGAGAACATCGGATTTACTTATCGGAAGAGTACCCTCGAAGGATTAAGACCTCGTCAACATGGCGGAACAAAAGAAAATTCCATGCTCCCTTTTTACCACTAGGGATTACAGTGGGGCTGGAATGATAACAGACTGGAAAGATTTTTACGACTGTATTAAACACACGTTCTATGTCATTGCTTGAACAACCGTGTCCTTAAGTCAGATAACCGGGTCGGCTGGTAATGCACCCCGATATTGAGTGTAAAATAATATTGAGTGCGCGCACGGTTGTTCCTCAATTTAGAGTCGACATCAATCATCATTGATCAATTCTTCGAGTGTCTGTTTCAATTACACGGCTGCAGTAATATCTGACCTTCTGTTAGTGTGTTATCGTCAATGATATTTTCAAATGAATGCCGGTTGAGTCAATGTGGAGTTAAAATTGACGGAGTGATTAGCTGGATGTTATAGCAGTATCCATTCATTCTGAATGACCCAAACACATTTAGTTATTTAAATCCAAGCCAAACATACGAACGTGATTAAAGCATTTGCTCATGAAGACCAAGACCCAGGTTTGACTTCCTGGGTTTCAAACTCATTTTATAGTGTCTCCTGTGTTGATACTGTGAAAAACTGCTAGGACAGGAGTAAAACCACACTCACTCACTCATAACAACAGTTTTTAAGCCAAAATATTGGACACACACACACACACGCTTGGTTTCTCTGATCTCTCGTAAGTCGTGACATGGCGATTGTATCAAAACAAAAATGATTTCAGGCGAGTTTGGACTCCCTTTGGTAGGGTTGTCACGATATGCACGAGCATTTTAATTTTCATGAATGTCATACTGACCCTTTACCACGTCTGCCTTTGTAGGTGCGTTTGGTCGATATGTTTGTTCATCAGGAAACACACTGATGTTGGTAATAACTGTCAATTTGGATTGAAAACCGTGTTAACAAAACGGCACAATCATAATAAAAACACCACCTTGTAAGAAAAAACAACTGCATTTGGTTTTAAAGGTGACGTTTCTTTTACGATTCAGTATATTATTGTACTCCTGCCAACTAGTTATTATTTGCACAACACTACATGAGGATCACACTAGATACCGTGCTTCCCCACCCCAACAACCCATTATTCCTAAGATACTAAACTAACATCACACAAAATGTCGCACCTCCAGCAACCAGTCATTACTTTTACAATACTACACGAGTTTCACACAAAATATCGTACTTTCATTAGCCATCTGTAAAATACTACACTAGAATAACATTTGACATCGTACTCCCACAAATCAGTTATCAATTGCAGTATTTGACACAAGGATCACACCAAGGTGTCCATCACATCTGTACACGATCTGTAGTAGCAGGATTATGTAGATCTGTAGTCGGGTAGAAGTCAAGTACACTTGTCTTGGTGCCCCTCGTTACTAGGTGCCCACAGGGAGGGTGAGGGCAATACGGCGTGTATCCCCCCGTGTTGACCTCCTGCCATTGTAGGGTCCTGGTTCTGTTACACTAGCGAGCACTGCTTGATATATCTACAAGAAAGGGATTATATTCATAAGAGCTTCCTGATTCTTGATTCAGCATTGCTTTTTTATCAGTCAGTTTCATCTTAGACTATCGGGGCTTGGTACAATGTTTGATAAGGAAGACGCACAGACCTAACGCGTTCGTCCTCGTTCGTATTTAGTGACTGAGGAAGGCGGCAAAACTAACAATTAGCATAAAACATGTTGATCCAGTCGAAGACGCCACCCAACTATACAGAATAGTATAAAAACGGTACAGATTTTACTATGTTTTAGAACCCAAACAAACTATGTATTAATTTACACGAGTTTCGTTTCCACAATCTTTCTAACACAGGGAATCAGAATTCTCGTGCGCAAAACGATGCTTTCGTTACGACTATCGAATGGATATGAGGGTACAGATCTTATTACGGGTTTAGATTGTCCACGAAATGTTTCACAACATCACACGAAGGGTACGGACAGAAACGAGAACACACGTAACGCACAAACAGAATTCTAGACAGCCCCCACACAGTGGTATGTACATAGCACTTGAATATTCCAGTGGCGTGTACCGTCATATCATAACTGAATCATTTGTTTACGGTTGCTAAGGAACTGAAGATCAGCTGACGATTAACAGTTTAAAGTCCTTGTCATATGTGTTGACCTGTGTTGTGGAGCGCCCTTGTGATGCCTTAATCTGTTAAAATAGCCACATGATGACCCACATAATGAGATAATCAAACAGGAATGGAGACAAATCATACACAAAATGTACGATATGAGCGTCACTAGAAGCCTTGATATCCTGTATCGCGACAATGGTCTACATAGTTACAATAACTGTGCTAGTTTCCTAAGGATTGTCATTACTGATAAAGAAACAATGCAACTCTTATCAACCCGAAACGGATCACCATGCACCAATTTTATTGATTTCAAGTCTTATTCCTAAATAGTTTTAACTGGTGTACTCTTGAAAAGTATTCATCCGTCACTACTTTCTGGTTAAGAGAGCTAAAGGTATCACAACAATTAATAATAAATTGTTCCGAAAAACAAATGTAGGTAAAGCTCAGTGTTATAACAAGACAGTTTAATTCCCACCCGTCTGCAAATGAGACAGGATACCCCCATTAGTATTCCGGGTAAGAATTCCCCAGCTTCCATGTGTGTCGTACAATCCAGGTGGTCAGACTCGATGACTTGATTGATTGACTGTTATTGTTTCCCGATGGCCTAATGGCTTTGTCTGGACATCCGTTACTGATCGCCACGGGAATAATGCTGACTCACCATACATCTACTTACCAGGGGCGTGGTCTAGTGGTTAATGCGTTTTCTCGTCACGCCCACTTCCCACATAGGTACAATGTGTGAAGCCCATTTCTGGTGTACCCCACCGTGATATAGTTCGAATAAAAGAGTCGTAAAACCATACTCTTTCACTCATCATAGAATAACGTATTGGTAATGGCTTTTTCTTACATGCGTTGGAATCCGTCATTATTGTGCGGTCTACATTTATTCTTCTCGAGGAAAGAACGACAATTACCAGAATTTAGAAACAAATAAAATGTTATATCAGGTATTATATAAAATCCAAATGAATGAATCAAGAAGTCTATTATATGTGTCCACGTTCCACGTATAAGTTGCGTTGTCTTGTAGTGGTCTGGGTTGTACTACCACGATATTACAACTATGAACATCAGAACATCATGAATATCAGTTTGAAGCTTATCGTTAGGCAAAATAATTTTCGTAAATACGTCATCAACACGATGATTCTAAATGTCCCTCTGTTCATCCTACTCATGCCGTGTGCCCCTTGTTCCATGTTTCAGCGTTGCATTCAAACATTATCATCAAAACATTAGCAACTGTTATTAGAGGCTCAAAATATCTCAAACACGTGACTGATTCACCTAATTAATGTATTTGGTTTTTCACTCACTCCAAAACTCATGAGTAATGGTCAAAGTGTTGAAATCTTGCTGTGTTTGTAAATCATGTTTATGAATAATAACTCCCAAGTCTTACTCCTAATCTGAAGTGCTCAAGCACTCATTTACCCGTGGCCTCCTGGACGGGGGCGCCATCGATCTGACACAGTGATACTGGATTATCCGCTCCAACTGGTTGAACATTCCTGGAGAGAATGGCTGCTGCTGTCTTGAATGGGAATGTTAGTTAACTACCTTTTATGATGAACTCGATGTGGTGGACAAACATCCCCAACACACAGCAAGCCATCGATTGACGGCGAAATTACTACTCTGTAATAGACTGGGAAGGAATGCAAGAAAACATTAAACATTATTTTATCATACTATTATACACTTAGGTACTGAGGTTGTTGGAAGCAGTTTATAATTATATGTATATGCTTGTGTATAAATGTAAAAGACATTTCTTCACAACGCGGTAGTGGAGAATGTCATCAGTGTTTGGGCTCAATTCAGATTCAATCCGTTATGTGAAACCGTAATGGCAACCTGTGATGTTTCATAACTGAATCCAGTGAGGGAATGAAATATAGTCAGATGTAAAGTATTTCAACATGTTATATTAATGCTTGCGGAAACTCCGAAACAGACGAGAGTGTACATCTTCAGAATCCATGGGAGAACGTATGGTGATGATATTAACCTAGGGTTACAGCAGAGATTAACCGAGGGGACGAACCTTGGATTCAAACCCACGACCAGAGTATACCGGCAGCCAAGGAACCAAAGGGACTGCTTGATTATCGAGGTCCTTTCATCGGATGTACAAACCGAAAAATCCCAAATACATTTCATATCAAAATATATAATGTTATATATTGCACATGTGATGCATTGCTTTGTATGTTCCTCAGGAAGCAGAGCTAGCGTTGCTGACCGGGCTGAGGTTCCTCCAAGCCGTGCCTCCACCAGACTGTCCCGACCCGGCACACAGGCCAGGATAGAAATAGATGAGGTATCCGGAGACGATGATTGTAACTTACTTGAAACATTGAAGCAATAATGTGATTCGTTTACTAAGGCACGAACGGTGTCCCGATATCACTATATTAGGTATATTAGAAGTCTACAAGTACAAATATAACAAACTGCCGGGCAAAAAAACACTACTCGTATGTTTGTTGATGGTGATATGGTAAATATGAAAAAATATTGCAATGGGTTTCGGGTGTCTTAATTCTGTTATTATGCTTCCAGTGTTTCCGCGACTGTTAGCTTATTAACATTTTCATATTAACGTTTGTAATGTTAAAGTCCAGTTTTCAAGGTTGTTAACTTGCTTTTGCCCTCAGTTCACTTAGAGACTGTCAATGCTTGTCAAATTGCTTTCAAGGGGAACTATCCCCATAGTCTGGTGCCCGATTCCTCTCGAACGACTAGAAGACTTGGGAAAGCGTGTCATTGTCTCTGTGAAACGAGCATAATCAGTAACTGCAGACGTAAGTGTAAGTTGACAGACAAACGAAGTAGAAGTTCAATTACTTCATATGTTCTGGAGCAACCTCCCCACGATCCTTCTGTAATAGTGTTGTATGAGATACAATGCATATCTTAGATTGTAATAACAACTGGTTCATTAATCATCGAACGCAGGAACATTGTAAACCTATTCAAGTGATGAGATGCAACATGTACATTCGATCATGAACTCGCTAAATGCTTATGTTGGTATTAAGTCTGATTTTTAGAAAATCTAGATCCTTATATTAAGGACCCGCCAGAGAACTATAAATTTAAAGATAACAACATTGTTCTGACCTTAGCTGGAGTCTTTGCTGAAAAGAAAAGTTGAAAACCAACTACTACGAGGTCAGGAAAAGGTTCAAGGACAACGACCCTGAGGGCAAGGGCAATGTGTCAAGGTCAGTGTCCAGTTCCTGTGGAACAAATACCGTATTTTACCACACAAAATTACGCTTTTTAACTATGAAAGTCCACCCCAGTCCACATGGAAGTAGAATACATGATTAATATACAACAATATAGAACAAATTCTTCGATGTATTTCTGTGTATGTAGAATCGACCTTATACTCAACTTGACCTCCTTAATGTCATGATACTATCCCCAACTATAAGCCTGATATCCTTCAGAAGTTTGACTTTGTGCCCATTCCCAAAAGTCTGCGCTACTTTGTTTCAGAGAAGTTTAAAGAGTACTCTTGATTGTATTGCTACCTTTCAGAGAGGCATTCTGTCGTATACTGATGGTGGTTATCAACCGCCCAGTCAGCCAGTCTCAGTTCAACAGGCTGAGCGAGAGGATAGGCCTCAAGAACAAGAGCGTTGTCTCCTTCACCGAGTTCTTCAGTCACTTCCGAGATGTGCCTGGCGAATCGGACTATCCTCAGTGGATGGACCCCGTGAACAGGACAGACAGAGTCACCATGAGTGCTGCATCCGTCCACATGCACCTCAAGGAGAAGGCAAAGCAGAGGTACTTATACTTAGTAAATATAGTTACAATAAATATCTGCTACTGGCATAGTCGATTTACAATTGCCACTATACCATGAACGTGTGTTTCTGAATCATTAGCCACTAGTGATGACACCAGGTGTTCGTCAAATGACGAGCGTATCCTGCTGCACCGATGGCACGAACACATGCAAAATCAAGTCAGTCGCTTACCCCGAGAATACCTGAAAAGGTCAAAATAAGAATTGAATTAGATATCAATTTGGTCACTATCCTCCGCGACAAAGTTTAGTTTTAATTCAGGTAAACGACTCAGAAATCTGAAGTGCCCAGTAATCTTACCATCATCTACAGTTGGTTACCTGTCCAAATAGGTATTGTCGCCGAGCTGTTGAGCTGATTTTGTTCTGAAGAATTCATCCGTGCCGAGTCATCGGTTGTACACAGAATTAGAATGTTATCGCCCGATAATGCTGCAGTTGTTGTTTTGAAATTGCATCCGCAGTTGAGTCTTGTGGAGACCTTTGACAGACATATATATCCCTCCTTTGGACCACATTTTATGATTTTTAAGACTATGACATTCCAACCTATGTGTTAATCCACGCTTTCTACGTCCTAGATTCTTGGACGTTGCCGACATGTTCCCCCAGATGAACCCCGGCGGATCTGGCCGCATCCTGAAGCCCGAGTTCAAGCAGATGCTCAACAAGATGATGTTCTTCATGGAGGATGACGAGTTTGACAAACTGTGGATCAGGTAGTCGACCTCGCTCATCAGTGTTTACCCTTTGCATTAGAGTGATTTACAGAACCTGAGAATGCCGTTTATATGGAATAGTCATATCTAATGGATCTTACAATTTAGGAGATACCTAGGAACTCACAATACATACAATCCACATGCTTGCAAAGGGTTTACTTAGAAACAAACCACAAGTCTGACGCTATCCCATAGACAGTTGGGTGAGAGTGCAACATTACCACAACTATATCACAGCGACATGTTATTTTAGTCTGGCGTGGACATATGAGTATGAGAAACGATCACGGGGCAAAATGATGACAAACCAATCAGGTCACACATTTTACCATCTGATCTTCATGCAGATAATATGCGGCATAAAGCAATCTTTCCTCATTCACTCATGCTGATAAACTCTGTTCACTATAGTGAGTGAGTGAGTGAGTATGGTTTTACGCCGCTTTTAGCAATATTCCAGCAATATCACGGCGGGGGACACCAGAAATGCTGTTCACTATAAGATCACCACCATCCACGTGACATATTACAGAGATAATCAGTATTTCGAGACAACGATATTCGACATGTATAGTGACACCTGTAGTAAAATCTGCACCTGCTAAGCAAACTGTTACAGTTCACATACCCTCAGGTAGCTGGTGACCAAGTTAAGGTGCTGACCGACGAGTTAAAGGGAGGTAATTCGTATTGTGGTTTGTGACCTTAGGTATGACTCCGAGGGTACGGGCGTGATCCAGGGCGGCAAGTTCCTCAAGTCCCTGGGCATTGAGTGGAGGAACGCCACCTCGGAGGGGGTGAGGAAATCCCTGTCGCCGGTCAACGAAGAAGGAGGTGATTGGTTGTCTTCTATGTAGAATAGTGTTACTTCAATGATCACGAACAAATATCAAGAGCGAAAATATATTTAATGAACAATGCTTACAATAAATAAATACTTGGTTCATGAATAACAATAGTGCTGGAAACATAAAAAGGCATGTATAAAATGAGAACTGGCCAATCGGCGATGATGGTAAAACATAGTTATTACACAAACGTCATTTTGCAATGTTATGTGGTTATGAAGCATAGCCCAATTGTTGTCACTGTCCTAGGTAATGTCATTTCTTGGACTAGCACGTTATTGTTTTCAAATGATAAAAGTAGACATGCAAGCAGCTTAATCAGGTGTAGCTTGCGTGGCTGCTCCCAGCACATGTATGCAAGTAATAATGTTGAGTCAACCTGTCATGCTTAATGGTATTATCGAACTTTCCAAAATTATTGACTTGAATCCATTTCCTTTGGGAAACCAAGTGACGTACTTTATTGCTAGAATCGGATTTCTGTCTTAACTGGTATGCTGACCAAAACGAACAAATTCTGGTGCCGTCCCGGTTAAGGCAGATTCACTGTATCAGCATATATCGCAGTATATTCCAGAAACAAGACACGATCCGGTCTCAGTTGCTAACAGATAATACGGGTAGGGAACGAGACAGAAAGACAACATTTTATTTACGCCTCACTTCTGCACATACAAATGATATTTACAAACTTTCAAAAGAGTAAAATGTACAGAACCATTATGTCATGTAATCCATGTAATTTACTTGTCCACCCTGTCCCAGATGGCACCCCGTCAGTGAGCGCCGCACCCCCGGCGCAAGGAGCAGAGAGAGGAGACAGCAGCTGAACATAGAACGCTGGCTCAAGGACAAGTTCAGGGAGGGCTTCTTCCACATGAAGGAGTCGTTCGAGGAGCTGGACACGAACAACACCGGCGTGGTGAGTCGTGGGCGTTACAACCGTAAAGAGTGAGCAATGTTCTAGAAGCCACAGCCTTTGTGGGCCATGCTTCACAACATAGATAAGAGAATTTAGCATGCTCCTTCTGGGAAGATTTTGAAAAGCAGCACACGAATCTTACCCAAATGTTGTGTGATCAGAGGAACAATATTATAGGCCTCATGGTTATGTTGCGGCCGGAATCGAACGATGGGATTTTTGGTTATGGAAAGTGTTTTGTCGCTTTGATTTTCTCCTCGTTGGACATTATACAGTGATAATATGACTATCGATATGTCACGATCGCTCAAACACTTTGATCATATTTAGGTTCATACTTTCCTCAAAGGGTGCGAGCAATAGCGTTGTCGGTACTCCTACCCTGCTGACGTCGAGACACACAACCGCAAAGCCACACATTGTAACCACCCTCTTTAGTCGACGTTAGCTTTTGGTATTAAATTTTTGGGTCTGTCCCAGAATGCAGATGGGAAGCTGACTAAAGTCTCAGCTAGATGCTAGCATATAATGCATAAAATTAGTAATATGCTTTTAGACATTATTCCACCATCTTATTACATATGCAAAGTGAAATTGGGTCGTGACATTCAGAAATCAACGAATGTTAATGGTATCCATCATCAGGTATCCTTTGACAACTTCCTGGATGTCCTGAAGCAGTACGGCCTGAACCTGGAGAAGCCCCTCCTCGGATCCTTCCTAGCTCGGTGCAGCGTCCAGGTTGTAGGTAGCGGTGTGCCCTACAAGGAGTTCCTCCACCGGTTCCAGGACCGTAGCGAGAACGGCATGACCCACAACATCCTCACCGACAAGAAACACAAGTGAGTCTCCGTGCATCCTTGTCAATCTGGAGCTTGTTGACATGGAACTCTCGACTAAGGTGAAGTGAGGTGAAATTTAAAGTCACGTCCCAGACTTCCCCGGCTAAGCTATTTCACTGATACATACGTGCCCGAATAAAATGGTTCAAGAATCAAAATGAATTTATATGGCATAACTAAAAGTTCTCGGTATTTTGTGCATTGTTAAACATGGTTTCATGTGATGATGTAAAAGACCACACTTTGAATTGGTATAACGTTACTAGTTGTTATCTGACGACGTTCGCTAAGTCTCACTACAGTGTGTGAGCAGAAGCAAGTACATACTGATAATGCGTTATCTATTTCTTCTTTATTCAAACATTTAAGCCATATAAATCCTATAACACCATTACATCAAAATAGTTTTCACGTCTTTTCATATTTCATAAAGGAAACAGTTTCATGCAAGTTGCTTTAAATTTCTGGTCGTCCAGAGGGGCTAATTCAAATCTTTTCGGGCAGTTTTCTTGGGTCTAATCAGTTCGAATTACTGTCAAATGGAATATATTGGTTTCTATTTTTATTAATCATATTTAGAGAAAATGGATGCCAAAAATAACCCGCACCCATATCAATCATTTTTGCTTGCATATTGGTTTAGCCAAAAATTCAAATTCGAGATGCAAAGATGCAAGTTCCATTTTACCTGGATCCAAAGGCTATGTGTGTACCATAACGTAGTATTGTTGTGTTCCAGGTACAATCACCCCGGCAGTGTTGACGGTGTCTCGACCGTCAGTGCCATCGAGGCCCAGCTCATGAATATGTTCCAGAGAGACTTCCTGGCTCTACTTGGCACGTTCAAGTAGGTACCACTCGGACATCTCTAAATTTAACTTCGGATATATCGAGGATCTGATAACATTCAAGAACAGTCACATAGCCTATTCCCCACCTAATCCCCATACTGTTTTGCCACCTGAACTAGAAATGTATTTGCTACATATGTAGGCCTATATATAAAGATTCAGAGACTCAGTAATGAAGACGGGTAACGTGTTGCAGTACTGAAGGTGGTGCTGTGCTGTAGAACGATGTCAGTAATGAAGGTTGAAGGCTGAATGTGTTCAGATCTATGTTGGTACTGGAGGTTATGATGGTGTATTGTAGGTCCATTGACAAGATCGGACAAGACGTTATCAGCCAGGAGGAGTTCCGTGCCGCAATGGAAAGCCGGTTTAACCTGGAGCTGACCGACTCCCAGTTTGAAGCTTTCACAGACAGATTACCCTTGGACGAAGATGGGAATGTCAAATATGCCGAGTTTATGCAGCTGTTTGATACAAAGTGAGTTGCTCCATGAATTTTGACTTGTAATAGGTGTTACCATGTTTGTTCAGATAAAGGTTTGACTTGCCTTTGAATGTGTTTGTGAAATATGTTAGAGATGGGAAAGTACACGCCCATCTTTCCGTGAACATCTGGTATCATCAGAAATTTGATATATATTTGTAAGCATGAAACGACTTTTGGAAAAGTATTTTTCGCTGTTAATTACGAGTGTTTGTAAATCTTCAAGTGAACGCCATCTCCCTGGATATACCAATTATGATGGTAAATGAAGGGCATTGACTCGATAATATCTCATTCAATTTTACCTCAAACACAACCTTTTCTATTATGCCAATAGTTACTCAGAGATGATATCTTTGGTATCGCACCTTATGACATCATCTCATTGATCTCACATTGTTCAGATATCATCTCAGTCATGATATTTCCCTAATGGATAATTTACTCTGCCACACTAGTTTACAACATTCGATAAACACATATAACAGTTACACATGTATTTGTGCATTGAATGCAGAAGAATTTCACAGATGTTCGTCATAGATCTCAGTATGTATTTCCTTTTAGTATTTTCATATTTTCATTTTCACAGGGGAAGGCCCAAAGCCTGTTCCAGGGCAAACGAAAGACAGCTGATACCCTGACTATCCCGCAGCCCGAGCAGTTCCAGTCTCCAAGACAACCGCTCCAGGAGGACGAGTTCGAGGACACCTACGTCAGGAGGACACCTCAAGAGATCTTCAAGGTCATCAAGGACTTGTTGAACCGCAGGTACCAGGACGTGGAGGGTGCGTTCTATGACCTTGACGAGACCAACACCAGACGCCTGACGACGGAGATGATGTACCAGCTACTGAAGAGGTAGTTCATATTATCTTCCAGCATTTGGTAATTTGGTTGAGTTAGACGTATCTGTGTGGGTTAAAGGAGTGGCGTACCAAGGAACCAGAGTGGAGGCTACGGAGAAGAGAGGAAGAGGTTTTGTCGTTCAAGTGAAGTTGTCAAGCGGCGTGACGTGGGGTGGAGAGAGAGTTACCACAGAGATGAGGAGGATTGACAATATGTAGAATTTGGGATTTTGAGGAGCGTGAGGGAATGAACATGTTATGTTGCTACTAAATTCAACATGGTTTTACAACAAAACTATGGATAAGGAAATGCCCGAGCTTTCTTTCAGGAATATCAATGCAAAAGTCACCAGAAATCCTGCTTAAGACATATTGCTTTAAAAGCATGTGTCTTCAATGTCTGAATCAACCTATTAAACGCCCTGCTACCCTGATAGTACTATTTTACGTACGTGCTACACACACACACACACACACACACACACACACACACACACACACACCAACATTTGTATAGCGCCAATATCCAGCTCAGCTGCTCAAAGGAGCTTGTTACAGAGTATCTCATTATGGCCATTGAGTCACTTGAACAATCACAATGATGTTTCTTCAAAGTGTTCAACACTTCGTAAAGAAGTAGTATATTTTACTGCTCTTTCTCTTAACGCCTTCGCTATAACCCAGGACACTGTGTGCTTTCTTCCCAGATTTGACATTCAGCCGGAGGTATCCCGACGTGAGATTCGCGACCTCTGGAAAACCTTCATCACCAACACAGACCGGACACTCGACTACCTGCAGTTTGTCCGCCATTTTGGCTTCTCCATGAGGTCTGCCACCTACCCTAACGCGAAACTGAACCCCCCACGTCGCGGGGATGCTGACTACATGCTGAGGTCCAGGAAACTCAACTGTGCAGCGGACATGCTGCAAGACAGTCTTCGTTCCAAGGTGAGTTTCAACGAAACAAAACAAGTATACATGGCCTATCGCTGGATTGTCTTGTACTGACTCGCTGTCACCGAATATTCTGGTCCACGCTCGATTGTTTATTTACCGCCGTGAAAGTGGTATTACGGGATGCGACGTTGGGCTTCAACCCTTATGTCTTGTTTGCAGCACTACTTTGCTTAAGTTTTCTAAATTCCTTCGTTTGTTTTTAGAAACAAGAATGCCTAGTTGCCTCCTGTCACCGATAGTCAATTTTCTGGCCCTACCTGCGCCTCCCTGGTGCCTAATGCCATATCCATTTGCAATATTTTTCAAAACACGATAAACAAATTTTAATAAAAAGGATACCTTGTTCTACTTTAAAATCACTTTTAGCTGATCTGCCGTCCTTTTGTTAAAAATACTCTAAAATCAACTTCCTCTTCTCAAAACCATCCATACTGAGGATCACTGAAAATGTCGTCTGCTAGCAAGTAAACAAAGGGGAATAACTCTTCACAAACTAATGAAAAAGGATTAACGGAGTTGTCTCTTTTGAATGAAACCAAGCACTTGATAGCTGGTCAAGGTTGTTTATACTATAAATCCAATTAAACATATTCCTAAAATTCTCAATAATTTCTGGTCATACTATATTTAATGGTCAAATGTGTAGACATGCCATAACCTCTCGCTGAACCAACAGAATAAGGTTACCCTAGATCTAGTTAATCTACTTACCTATCAACGATATATACTGAACCACAAAAGAAACGTCGCCTTTCAAAACCAAATGCAAACGTGTGTTCTTACAAGGTGGTGTTTTTATTATGGTTGTGCCGTTTTGTTAACATGTTTTTCAATCCAAATTGACAGTCATCATTACCAACATCAGTGTGTTTTCTGACGGGATAAAGCATATCGACCAAATGCACCGAAAAAGGCACGATAAAAGGTTCTGTATAAAAAGGTTCTTGAAAATGAAAATGCATGTCCATGTCGTGATAACCCTACCAATGAGAGTGAGTCCCAAATTCGCCTGAAATCATTTTGCTTTGACACAATCTCCATGCTACGACTTACGAGAGATCAGAGGAACCAAGTCTTGGGACGATTTCAAGTTAATCCAGCTCGACTGCACGGACGGTAGCCAATCATTTTAATGTTCATGTTAGGAAAATCTAACGACTGCAGGAGTGGTATCAGGTAACTTACAGCATACAAGACCGTCCACGCAGTGAAGGCGACATTCAACAACATCAAAACGTCAAGACTGACGGATTGTGCGCCACTCAACTGCAGGATCGCTTCCCCAGAGCGACGGAAACAGCACGCCAGACCATTGGGACTCACAACAGACCCATCAGTGCCGATACAGAGCTGACGTCTGCGCAGACAAAAACTCTGCTGTCAAAGACCATATCGTAGTCCTGTCCTCACCGCTCATCAATTTCCGCCCAAACCGATAACCAAAAATGGGCAACTCAGCATCGCACTCGGCGTTATCGACAATGGAGAACTGTGCTTTTATCTCATGAAAGCCGATGTCGTGTTTCGACAGTCGAAAAATTCCAGCATGACAACGCTCGTGCCCACACCGCCAGAGCAACATTGGACTTCCTAAGACAACATGACAGCCAAACTCTACAATAGCCTGCACTCAGTCCGGATTTAAGTCCAAAGAGAACACTTGTGGGACGAGATTCAAAGAAGACCAATGACCCCTCCAACCATGGCCGACAACTGCGGCTGGACTCGAGCAGGCATTTCGCAGAGGATGGACCCAAGTGCCATGGCCTTCATCAACCGGCTAATTCATTCCATGTACAGACGATGCAACGCTGTCATCGATGCCCAAGGAGGCCACACACAATACTGACTTTTGGGTGTCTTAATGGTACCATTTTGGGTGATTTTGTTTGTGTGAACGACAAACAAAGTGATTCCCGAAAATGAGTTAACCATAATTGTCAAGTTTGAACTCAATCCCTTCCGTTTTGATTGTTAATTAGAGTGAATTAAAGTGTGTGCTTTAAGAAACCGCTATCGGTGCGACATTTCCTTTGTGGTTCATTATACTGCGTCGTACAATGTTCATTTACAAATGTGTTTTATACCTGTAATTGGGGTTGATCTACATGTGGGAGGACCTACGACGCGAGTTCGTGAACATGGACCCATACAGCACTGGGTACGTGAACCGGGAGGGATTTAAGGTAGCGTTCTGTCGGGCTGTGTGTACATCTGAGCCAGCTGGAGAGATGGAGCAGCTCAGTGAGAGGTTCGACATCAGACACGACGGCAGGTCAGTTAAAGATGTCTGTGTGTGTGTGTGTGTGTGTGTGTGTGTGTGAGAGAGAGAGAGGTTATTTCACGGCAGCCCTCATGGAACTCGTGTCACACTTTGTTACTGCGGATAGTACGACATACATCTAACATGACACATCACTCTATATAATTCCTGTATGTTACATCTTATGATTTGTCTCTGGCTGTGTGTTGCGTGCAACTCTGGCTATATGTAGTGTCCTGTCGCTTTTACTTTAGGCCACTGAAGACTACTAAATACACATTATGCCTATGTATTGCAGGGTGTCTTACGTGGAGTTCTTGAAGCCGTTTGCCTTGAGGAAGCAGGTCTGGCGTCATGGCAACAACATGTTGTCGTTGCTGCAGCACTCTACAGCCGGAGCTCCCATCGCCGATGTTGTTGAACCACCTCAACAGGGTCTGCACGGTATCACAGCCAAACTCCGACAGAAGGTAGGCCTAGTAAGCTTTCGGACATAAGCTGATTTGATTGAACTAAGACATCCGAAATGGCCATACGTGAAGGCATAGGTTCAAAGCATATCTTTCTAGATGAATGAAATACTTCAGAGAAACAATCCTAGCGCTTCTATAAGTATTTCGCAGGGTATGTAGATGCTAGGATCTTTCCATTCCATACACTATTTGACCTCATTCACATTTTACTACGCGCTGATTTGACTTTGTAGGTCACGGTAAGAGGCGAGTAGCTACGAATGCTTACGAAGACAGCATGGCCTTACCGCTGATATTAACAAAGATTTGACTGGGTTGCCCTAACTGTATGATTTATACGTAGCCTTGTTGAGCCTGGGTTATTGCTGATTGGTGGCGTAAAACCATATTACACTCTATGAATTCTTTCTGTTTACAGCTTGCGGGTGACTGGAAGAATCTACGTCGCGCATTCGGAAGATCGATGTGACCGGTAACGGATATCTCTCTGTCCCAGAGTTCCGTTCGGTCCTCAGATTGGCCAATGTACTTCTTGACGAAGACGAAGTTTACCACGTGATGACGGAATTTGATAGAGACATGACAGGCAAAATATCCTACGACAAGTTCATTGATGAAACATTTAGGCCGGAGACACGAAGAAGTGTGAGACGACCATCTCAAAGTTAAACACAAAGGGCAACTATGTGGCAATGAGTGCCTTGACTCTCGTGAAAGTATTGATCAGTATTAATACTTCAGTACTGGATTACTATCGACATCTCATCAGTATTGTCTATCACACATGTTGTTGTCTACGGAGCTTCGTAACATCTAACCGTGTGTAAACGGGACAATTACGATCATATTTCAACGGTATATAATCATTGTATTGTAAATATTTTTCAGCTAAACGATTGTCATGATTTCATATAGAATGCATTGTTCAATTCTGATTTGTCCCTACTGTACTCTTCTTATTTGTTTTGTATGTAGTGTGTATGGCTTGCAAGGGAAAGAAAAAATATACCGTCCAGCAAAATGTCATGACACATGAAGGCCTGAATAAAGAGCAGCTTGAATTAATTTCACAAGGGCACTAATTACAATCTCTAGGCCTGAACTGAAATGGTTAACAGACCTGGGTGCCTTTGTACAAAACAACAAACTTTAGCGCTAAGGCTACCTTAAGTCTATGTTAAAGTATGGGTGTTACGGTCACCTTAGCGCTAAGATCGCTTTGTACAACGGCACCCTGGGAAGAGAGTACTCCTTTATTTGAAGGATGTTAAACTATATCCGCATACTCCTCTCTCAAATACATTTAGGGGCGGTGTGGTAGCCTCAGCTGTAGTCCGCTCGTCACGCTGAAGACCCGGGTTCGATTCCCATAGGGTTAAAAATGTGTGAAGCCCATTTCTGGTGTCCCCGCCGTGATATTGCTGGAATAATGCTAAAGAAAGCGGTGTAAAACCATATTCTGTAAAATACATTTAAACGGACTAAACTACCAGGGGCAAAGAAAGTATACCCTTGAAAGTTTGGGAAATTGACAAAACATTACGAACGTTTTCAAAACGTTATCATATTGAACAAAGTCGCAAAATACAGAGGGCATCAAATACATCAAAATGTTTGTTTCCTATTTAGCCACCATCGCAGATGAGTTATTCTTTGCCCTGACAGGGCAGATGTGTTTACGTCAGTGCTATTCCGGTGAATGGGGGCTTCCATGTTTGGT